CCCCCCCCCCCCCCAGTCCCCGAACACTTCGGATGACGAATAGAAATGTCAAAAGCTCTCTCGGCAAAGTGGCGAATAATGAATATAGAATCTATGCCTGCATCCCTAAACTCTTTCGCATAATCTTGCTTTTCTTGCCGTATGTCAGCTTTACTACAGCTAGAAGAAGATGAACGAAAACTGCAAGTATATACATGACTCAAAGGATCAGAGTAAACAAAAGCCGCAAAATCTAGCCAACGAATCAACAACATGATGATCACAGGTGTTATCTGTGTATGCATACATACATACAGACATACATACGCACATACATACATGCATATATTCATACATGCATACATACATACATACATACATACAGTACACACATACACATATCATCATCATATGTCTGCACGTGCATAATCCTTCAGACATGTGTGTCTCTAAAAAACTCCGAAGCTAGATTAAACCAAACAGCGATATATTAGTAGGTTGATAGACGGACCAATTATGCCGTCCTCCAGCTGGAAGATATCGCTCCGACTCTGCAGCATGGAGGGGGCTCGGCTTCCTTCGCAGATCAATAAAGGGACCGTGTGTGGTGCCAAAGGCGGTACCGTCGAGACATCGCAAGCACAGTGGGGAAAAAACATTCATGTTTGAGCCCGTGGAGAGAGGTTCATCGGTCTAGATTTTTACAGACGCAATAAGAGCTTTTTGGCTCTTGGCACCGCTCCTGGCCCCCACATGTTGCGCAGAAAGCATGGCAACCAAAACGAGGCAGAGCGGGAAGACCCTATCCACGGCTAAACTGACCTAGAGTTGGGCAACGGTTGCGAGCAACTTAGTCTTTCCCACCAGCCTTACATAGGACTTAGTTTACCTAGCGGCTCACTGCAGCACACCCTACGAAGCACAAATAGGCGGAACAAGTTCCAGAAGCACTCGTCTCAAACAGTGAAGGCTGCACGTCATAGACATAGGCGGGCTTGTCCAGATCCTTGTCCTCAGAAAGCTCCGTGTAGACAGAAGACTATCTGTCTACTGGTGCTCGCTGGCTGAACACTACCTGTGCATAAATGTCTGCATCCCTTCCCTATACACTCCTGAAGTCGAAACATGATGGCATTTGGTCCCATCCAGTCTGGAATCAACCAAAACAGCATGGTTGCGAAATCTTGTCGATGGGTCATGGAACTTGGTGCGGGTCTGCTTTGTTGGTCGGGAGCTGCTTCAGTAAGCCCTGACCTGAAAAAGACTGAGTGCCACTGCAGCACTATTGCTACCATTCACAACAAGCTGGTCAGGTGGCGTTGGCGCACTTTCACCCAGGAACTGCTCACATGACGTGCGATACCCTGACCACCTTTGAACGCCCCACCAGACTGCGGCATGCATGAACAAGCATTTTCAGTCAAGCCTTGCATCCTGTAGTACTCCGTCGGGTGATCCTGGCAAATCAATGCCACGAGGGTTGCAGGCGCTCTCTCTCGAAACGATAGCAAGCAGCCTTCAAATGGGCACATCTGCTAGGCTCTTAGTGTCGCGTCTCATGTACCAGCGGCCCTGTAACAAGCCTGAGTCGAGCTCCATTTTGCAACATTCTTTGGAGGAGAAAGCCGGAACGAGATGCCTACTTACAAGCCTGTGCTGCTGGCAGACTGACGACAAGCCTTCGGGCTCATGTATGACTACATACATGAGGACCTTGGGAAGCCGTTGAAGATGCGAGTCTGAAGCGGCTGAAGATTTAGGATCCAATGCTTTGTTATGCGAAACTATCTGCAGTCAACGTCCAAAGCCCATGCTGTCTTTAAAAGGCCAAGCATGGGCTGAGCAATGTCCACTGCCCAGGCATGAAGACAGCTGCGAATCTCTAGCCAAGGCTAAGGCTTGCAGATACTTCTGCCCCAAGATCCATCCATGAGACCTGGCCGGCAGCTGGGAGGCTTTCGATTTAGGGGGGCGACATGTTCAGACACGGACTCTTCCTAAAGGATCTGCTCCATGTACGTATGGCAGTTTGAGGATGTCGTTTTCTCTCTCTTACTTTAGGTATTCCTGGCCAAGCGATGCCAGAGGTGTTGGCCGACACACAACAACAAAGCTTCTATCCAGGCAACTGCAGCCCGAAATGCAATAGTGACGGGGGAACCCAATGCCAGTGGAGAAGGTCGTAAAGTTCGCCGCGTTCATGCCTTACACGACTCATTTGGGAGTCATGCGCCTGTGAGATCCCAGGCAGAGCTGAGTTGCTTTTGTTTCGTGTGTTTGCGCTTAGTCAACAGTTCTCTATCTGTCACTGTCGGTTCTGGAACGATGTCTGAATCCCAGGCTTTCAGTCTTTCAGTGTCCACCTTTGTGCAATGATCGGTTTTGTTTTGTGGGGAGCGCAATCCGCTGTGCCCAAAAGAACCAGGTGGAAATCTCTTCGAGACGTCCACTCCGATTTCAACATGGCCCCACCAATAACGGAATGGCGTTTCATGGCGTTTCCCGCTGACAAATACCACTGCTTTCGCTGCAGTGTCAAGGATCCTGACCGCAGAGACTCGCTCCGCGAAGCCAATGGAACTTCTGGAACGCAGGCCACGCTCTTTCAAAGAATATGGCTTTGCTGATGGGGCAATTGGCCGAGCTGCTTCCGAAGATTGAAATGCGCACTGAATTACTCATGTATTGCCTGAGCCCTCCCGGTTTACCTGCTTGCACGGGCATGGAAACTTTCTGGGGGCTGTGTGGCAGATCCCGTCGACAGGCCCACTCTGCCATACTGCACCTACACAGCCTACACTGTGTCCTATCTGCTCGATCTTGAGCAGCCCAGCACATTGCCAAAAAATGACAACGTGGCATTCAGCCATTTGAAGATCTTAGCTGCTTTTTTGCAGCTCCAAGGTCTCGAAAGTGCCAGCAAGCATGGCCCACTCCACAGAGTTCGCCACGCTCCGGGCTCTGCCAGATCGGGCATTGAGTGGTCTCTGTTGGAATACACCCATCGATTCCACTTAAGGAGCCTAGTGTGCGGTTCTTCCAACAAAGGTGTGGGTCTGAGCTTGGAAAAGCAATGGCACGTATCGACTTTGCAAGCATCCTTCCATCGCGGCGCGTGACCTCGGCACTTATGGACAAACAGACTATAGCCAGAGTCAGTGTCAGAACAGGACATTGCACGAGAAGCTGCCTAAGTTTGGACAGGTCGCCAGCCATGGGGCGCTCTGAGGCTCATGGCGCTGCGCAGCAAAGCCAGCCTAAGCATCGGCCCCATGGGCTCAAGCGCATGGCTTGATCATGCGCAATCGGCATAATCCTTCTGACGACGACAATGACCAGCGCGACAGGAGGGGTTGTGTTGCTGCCGAAGAAGATCATGATGATGGTGGTGATGCTGATGAAGGCATTGACGCCGCTCTTATGTGCTGTCGAGACTGTCCATGAAGACTATGAGGAGTCTTCACCAGCTTACCTAGGACCTAGACTCTTTGATCATCATCTCGCTGACTACTAGAGGACCTGCCTGTGCTAATCCGGAAGCCTGGCCGTTCCAGGACACGGTTTGAAAATGGAAACCTCCCTCCCCATGCTTAAGACCATGCGACTGAGAGTGCTGAAGGCTAATAAGCTCTACTAGCAGGAACAAGCTTAAATAAGTTTTCCGGCCTCCACTGGGTGCCGGAGTCTCCTCTAAGAGGATCGGTTTCTCCTGAACACAGTGCCTTTATGGCCATTCATGTCAGCTAAGAATGCAGCACGCAAGTCGGTGTGAGCTGCGTCCCCCTATATATGATGCTGGAGCTTGGGTGATTGTCTGACATGGGAGAGTAGCATCCACTCATTGCCGAAATTATGGAACAAACCTGCATGCTCAGTGTCCTGTTCTTTGATCCCGTTGGCCTGCCACACAACCTCGGCTGAGACTTTCGTCGCAGCCTCCTCCTGAAACATGCACCGCATTAAAAGAAAGATTGGCTCCTAGAACATAACGAGACTAGTCTTTTCTACGCTCAGCAAGCCGTGCAAGCTCATTCACAGGTCCTCTACCTCCACATTGGCAATGGGTGTCGTCACGCTGCCATGCACAACCTGATGAAGCCAATACTGCAATCTTCAGTGCTTGAGACTGCACCTTACCAAACAGAAGCACAAGACACTTGCTTCCGACCTGGCCCCACCTAGCCACGAAAGGACAGCTATGCAAATTTTGTGCCTCTTTGGAGTCATTGACATTCTCGTGTCTGGTGCCCGGCTTTGGTGGATTCGTAGCACCTGCGTCACGAAGAGTTCACGGATGTCACGACGTAGATATCTACACCGAAAACGAGACCCGCGAGCTGGCGGGAAGAACATGATATAGTACAATTATAGTACCAAGGATTTCGGTGGAGTCTCATCCATGCATGTCACACAGACGCATCAGGGCAGGCTGTAAAGGTCCAGGGATACTTCTAGGGGACGGAGGCGATAACGAAACTTTGTTGCCCCAAAGTCTAGCCTCCGACTGAAGTCGGGACGGCACTGAATGGAAAGACAGGCAATGCGGCAGCCACGGCACCTTTCCTGGTGATCCCCGCTTCTTTGCGAGCCATCCATTCAGCGATCCTGTCTTGGTATGAGCACGGCCAATATAGAACGCGCAGCAAAAACAGAAAGGAGTCATCAAAAGCATCGAACCGACTGTAGTCTCGCTCGCTCCTGGACGGGTTATCCTGCGCCAAAGGGAAGTACAATGGGATGTCCTCTGGCTTCTTAGTGCCTGATTCAGCCCAGGGTCAAACGGCCACTGTATGTATGTTTCTACATGATTCTTGATCTGATTCCCGTTTGCAAAGCACTGTACAGAAGCTGGCTCGGTCGAGACCCCCACCCCACTGCGTTTCCCCGACACCCCTCTCACATTGCCAACACTCCTACTCTAAAGCTCAATTTTGGCGACCTTTCTTGGCCAGTCTCGACCTGACATAGGTCATAACTACACTGCTACACACCCACTCAGCGGGAGATGCCTCCAAGGGAGGGTGGGAACATGCTTGTTGGCCCCACGACTCGGAGCTGTGCCTGCCCAGGGTCAACGGGATGGACTTCTTTTATCAGGTAACAGATTCTCTCACTGTCCAACTTCGGCAAGAAAGAACTGTTTCTTCTTCCCGGCCTTGCTTTGCAGCATCTTCTGCGGCTACATGAAACTGACACAGGGCAACAGAACACGGAGCCCAGCAGAACCCGGCCTGCACATCTGCATCGGAAGCGCTTCCGAGAACTTTGAGTCGGGCAGATTGCCTGCGAGGGCGAGACGTGAGTCTTGTATGTGTGTACGTATGAATGTATGTATGTACACACACATATATATATATATACACACATACACACACACACACATATATATATATACACATATAGATACTATAGTCTTCTTCGTTTCAGTGCAGGTATGCCAGGTAGTCGCTCCTTCCTTCATCATGATTCCTGCAGCACTCAACTCCACGGCGAGCCAGCAAGATGCTAAAAGGCTCTCCTGTCAGGGATCCGACTTGCCGCACCTCTTGGTCATGAAAGTGGTGGCAAACATGACGACAAAGCGAATGATCCAGGGCGCGTTCACGATCAGAAGGAGGATGTCGTGATCACCTTAAACAAACGCATGCGAGCTATCACCAGCCCGCGAGTAGGCAGAGTAGGCTGTGGTTCCAACTCCACAGAACGAAGGTCTGCCATGACGTCTGCCGGGCTTTTCTACAAAGGCACATGCGTTCTTTAAGCGAAAATGCTCAGGAAAGCGTGGGCTCCATATTTAAAAGAAATCAGCATCCTTAGTGTCACGAAATCGCAAGCCCCACCGAAGCCCACCCCTGCAAGGCCGTGTTCTAAAGAAGGGGAAGTCACAGTACATGGACATCAGCTGCTTGCCATTGTCTTGCGCGAACTTGCGAACTTCATACACCCGAATGGGCAGGATCTCCCTTCCCAAATGCTGCGCGTCGATCCTCAGCTACGAAGCTTCAGCATCAGCAGCGTGTGCAGTGCAAACTTGAGAACTCAAGCCTCTGAAATGGACGACAAGGATCACTTTGATGGAGTACAGCATTTTCTTCTTCTCGTAAGATCTGTCATCCACACGCTTCATCATCCACTCCATGCCCGCTCTCACCAGCATCAGGTCGTTCTCCATCGTGTGGCACGCCGGGCGCTGGCTGACAAATTCCTGTGCCTGCACCCAAGAGATTGGCAAATTCCGTGTGTGCGGTGAGTATAGACTCAGTACTAGTAGACTTCCCGTTGCAAAGCAGATGCTGGCCTTGAAGTATCCCGGAGACGCGAAGATCACTGTGTGCCCGTCCTGCACTGACTGTCCGGGCGCAGCATACAGCGAAAGCAGCCTGCGATACTTGATGCTGGCAGCAAACACTTGGACACCCGCTCCCCCCCTTGCGAAGAAGCTTTTTGAGGAGATTTTCCGACCGTCCTCTGTTTCGGCAAAGCCGGGTACCAAAACGGGTGAGTACGGTGACCTGTCTCCAGCCGCATGCATGAAATACAGTGGTTCTACTGGTCAGCAGCAGTACTGGCTGAATATGCAGATGACGTTGACGAAGCCGGCTGCGATGAAGAGGCCAACGGTGAAACTTATGATGTTGAAGCTTTAGGACGGTGGTATTACTGTATTACTGTTACTGCTGCTGCAGCTGTGCTGTGTTTTGTGTGCTCTATGGTGTAGTTGTTGTAGTGTTTGGTGTAGTAGTCGTTGTCGCAGTAGTAGTAGAGGTCGTCGTTGTCGTGGTAGTGGAAGTATACCCGTCGTAGTGGCAGCAGCAGTAGTAGTTGCAGTACCAGTAGCAGTAGCAGTAGCAGTAGCAGTAGTAGTAGTAGTAGTAGTAGTAGTAGTGGTAGTAGTAGTAGTAGTAGTAGTAGTGGTAGTAGTGGTAGTAGTGGCGGTAGTAGTAGTAGTAGT